CGGGGGTGTGGGATCATTTACGGAAAAAAAAATCCGATGATGCGCACACCTTCACTAATATGCATGCATATACATTATGCATATTCTTCCATGTCGATGCGGAACAACTTCACATTTTGCATGCCAGCTTCCAGGGGAAAAATTGAAAAAGAGGGGGAGGGGGACGGGGCCGGAGCGGCGGGAACGGACCGGGCGAGCCTGGTCGTCGAGGCCGTGTCGGCGTTGCTGGAGTGCGGCCGAGAGAGCGTGGCCTCGGCGTGCATGCTTTCGCACGGGCTGGACCTCTACTACAACAAGGACGTCGAGGCCGAGGCGGGGGACGGGGCGGCGGCGGCATCTTCTCTCGACGGCGGCGGCGGTGGCGGTGGCGGCGGATCGAGGCACCTCCTGCAAAACGGCGGCGGCGGCGGCGGTGCCGCTCCCGGAACGAACGAGCGGGCGAGCGGGCTTGCCGGGAGGAGGATCGTGGGCGACGCCGTAGTGGTGCTGGTGGGCGGTGGCATGGGGCACGGGGCGGCTGGTTCCGGCGACGTGGACGGGGACGGTGAGAGAGATAGCCGGCCGAAGAGGCCGCCGAGCAGGAGTTGATATTTTGCTGTTGCTGTGCTGGTTTTGTTCCTGATGCTTCCCTCTGCGGCTGCCGCTGGTTTCTTGTTTTTTGTTCGTGTCTCATTCTCCGGGGTGTAATTTTATTCGTTTTGTGTCGCATAACGCTTGCTTGGTAGTCATTTCCCACAAATTTCGCCTCCGGGCTCGCCGACAAAGGGTAGAATACCGCTTCTTAACTGCTACTTGTGTTGTGCCAAACGATCGGAGCAACCGACTGGCGTTTGTGCTTACCGAGGGCGCTGAATGCTCTTCCTCGTTGTGTCGACTTGCGCTCGTTTCTCTTTTCTGTTTTTCGGCGTGGGGACGAACGGACGGATGGACGCTGAGATAGGTGAGGCGAACGGCGACAGGACTTGCAACCCGCTTCGGCTGAGGGAGGAGCTCATGAGGGAGCGGATGCAGCCGCGGCCTTCGATAGAGGCACCGTCGGAGGCGGTGAAGGCGGCAGTGGAGCGTGGAGGGGGAAGCGCGCTGCTCTCGGAGACTCTGCTTCCGCGGTTGGCGGGTGAGTGAGAAGGAAGCGAGGTCACGCCGCAACAAGAATTTTCTGAGAATTTTCACTACTGCTGTCGATTTGTTTAGCGCCAAGCGAGACGCCGTGTGGGCAAGAGAGGGCGGCGGTAGTTCTGCGTGCAAGGTGCACGCGATTGGGGGCTCGGCTAGTGTACTCCGCCGTGCGCCTGGCTTCTTTTTCGGATTCGCTGTTCCGTCGTTTGGTTGTTGTCCGCTTCGCTGTCTGTGGTTGTGCCGACCTCTCTCTGTCCATGTTCTCGAGATACCGTAGGTTGCATGACATGACGTAAGATACCACACCCCCTGTGCCGATTTTTCAAACCTCTATTGTTCCACGACGAAGACGATGCCGAAATCAAATGATGCATTTTCAGAAAGCTCTCGACGAGACAGTTCCAAAGCCTCCCGCCATCTCCGACGCCGCCACTCCTTCTGCCGTGGAGTAATCGGTCTAGGGGGTGTGATGTCTTATGCAACCTACGGTATCTCGAGAACATGGCGGAGGAAACGCGCTTGTGCTTGTCACACATCCCGTTTCATTCAGCTTCAAGAAGAAGCAGAGAAGCAATGGGCCAGGACTGATGCGGGTTTTCAACCACGGCCACCAACCTAAACCTAGATCTATGTGCCTAACCCCAGCCTTTTTTTTTTTTTTGCAAGAATCGCCGTTTTTCAGGTGGGGAGGCGTATGTACGAACACTCACGATTCCTGCTCGTTCACCGTTGTTTGTTTTTCGTATGTGTGGCTCGCCCCGCGACGTGTCCGTCGTGGTTGTTAACCTTAAGGCCGCCTGGCGAGCGACGCGTTGATGGGCGGCTCTGTTCCTCTAGCGCGGTCGGAGGAGAGGAGCCCGCCCCTGTTTTTGTTCGACGGAGGACACCTGTGTGCGGCCATGCACGGGGCGGGGATCAACCTCCGGTACCTTCCGATGGTGAGAGAAAGAGGCAGAGAGAAGGAGAGAGACAGACAGACAACACACACACAGAGGGAGAGGGAGAGGGAGAGGGAGACAGGGAGAGACAGGCAGACAGAGAGAGGACTTGAGTCGGCGCTGTGTAACCTACGGCCTCTCCACCAAGAACCCTTACCCACTCGATCTCTACAGGTTCAGCAACAACAGCGATATATATATATATATATTTGGGGGGGGGGTCTTGCAACGGTGCCGTTGTACAGGCAAAGTACAAGTATGATTTATGTCTTGCAGACGTACTGGTGACACGAAAGAAACTCTCCTCCACTCCACACTACTTCTCAACAGCAGCTACGGGAAGCTTTCAAGAATGGCACAGCAGTCTGTCGCCATACACGAAACATTGTACCTTTTTCATGGATGAAAATGTTGATGCTCGCTCTTGGCGCCATCCCGCCTCAACTCCACCCCTCCTTCCTCCCTCATATGATCGACTCGCACGACGATTTATCTTGGTTCTAACGTCACACAGCAGATTACTGTGGTCAACATGATGCCAACGGGTGCCACGTAACCCTCAATTTCCTCCATTTTGTTCTGAACGCCACGTGCGCATCAACTTTGGTGCCGTGCGGGTCGTTCGAATAACGTGCATGACGTGTTGCGGTCGTGTTGCGTGTGTTGCGCGTGGTCTTGTTCTTGTTCTGCCCCGGGGGACAGCTCCGGAGATCCTTGGGGTGGGAGCACGAGGGCAACCGCCAGCTGATCGCCGCGGAAATGCTGGCTCGGACCGCCAAGCACATCCTGGCTTGCCGCCTGCGGCACTCCCGCGTTACCATGGGAATACCAGACGAGGTAATGTATACCACGCACGTCTGTCTCACCCAGGCCCATCGGTGGATTCAACACCCCTGCTTGCTTGGTCATTGGTTGTGCTTGTCCCCACGGCCGCTTTGGTGCATCCAACACCAACACCTTCTAGCAGCGCCTCGGTTTCTCTGCTGCACGTTTGCGTACCAGTCTGATTTCTCTCTCTCTCTCTCTCTCCCTCTCCCCCTCCCTCTCGTCGTTTGGAACTACCGCCAACGTTCATTGATTCCATTTCTTTTTTGTCTTTTTTCCGTTCTGTTTGCTTTGGTTGGTCTCTCATCAATGGTCCAGGTTGCAATGCCATCCTTGTACTCGGACGAGCGGCTTCGCGCGGTGGCTCACCTTATGCTCAACGCCGTCCTGTTCAGGTGCCCCTACCTGTGTATCTGTCGCGCCTACGACGTTCGGCAACATGCGTTTCATAGCCACCTGTGATTTTGGGTTCTCGACGGATTCTCTCCACTCCCGTCTGGTCCTTGTTTTTCTTCATGGGTTTTGGGAGGTTCACGTATCGGACTTGTGCGTTTTCTTCGCGACATCGACCTTTGACAAAAGCCTCA